TCTACAAGGTGCAAATCTACTCTGCCTTGTGACAGGTAAGAATGATGATGGACAGTCAGTTCTTATGTAACAAGATGTGTGGAGGGAGGTGGAGTTAAATGTGGTTGACAAGAAACTATCCCAATGGAAACAGGCACTTTTGGTTTATAGAACAGACATGTCCTGCCAAGCAAGTCAGCTTCAACTAGATTGCTTAAGCCTCTACCCTCTGGACTTCAGGTGGAGTTGTCCCTGGAGGAGCTTCTCTTTCCACAGGATGCTTAGTCCAAAATCAATACCAAAATGCACTCCCATTATCTTTCTGATTTTGTGGCCTGAATCTGTTTCCTCTCAGGAAATTAAACTTCATGTACTGGATAATAAAAGGGCATGCCAATTTTACCTTTTATCCCCTCAGGCAATTTCCAGGACCCTTGTAAATGGGCTGCAAGAAGGAAGATCAACCTTCAAGACTGCTGATATTTTGTTGGCAGAGGAAAAGACAGGTCACCCAAGACATACATTTGTAAAATGCCACTCATAGCTGCTCTGTCGTTTCATGTACTCTGATGACTAAAACCTCAGCATAAGGAACTGTGTAAAATGGCTTTAAAAGAACATTTTACATTACAATAATTAACCACAAGAAGGCTTTAACAATCTAACTTATTTTCTGCAATTAAAGTTATTTACTTTCAGTGTTTTGTTTAGGTACTCCACTAGGTAGCCCTTGTGTCACATTGTCCAAAACTATGGGAAAGGCATCTTGTTTATATATTAGCTGAAGGTTAAAGAACATGTTTTCTTTCCTTCCTTAATGCTTCCATTAATGCTTCTTTCTTAAAGGGTTGTGACAAATTAAATTAAAGTTAAGATTCATGCAAGGTAGGAAAACATTAAATTATTTTGCTTGATTTAAATCTTTTAGCATGTTCCAGCATACTGATTTTTACTTGCTCCTTCATTTCAGTAAAAGATTTATATACATTTAAGTAGTAAAATCTTAGAATAATAAAAAATGCCTTGTTTTCTTTAACTTACTGCTTTTGAGCCATCATAAAATTAGCCCACTGGAGTGTTATTTTTTTCCTTCAAAATAAATTAGAGCATTTTAGACTAATCATTCTCTGCTTCAGACTCAGTCATACCATAAATTAGAAAAGTATACAGTATACTAAAATGGTGTTTAATTAAATTATGGAGTTATGATGACATGTTTGTTCACTGTTATTTATTTAGGCCATTCTCACTGCTAATTCTTTTTATTCTTTTCCCAAAGATTCTTGACCCAAATTATTATGATACCTTCCTGTACAGAAGAATAAAGTAGATTGTTAAAAGGAGGGTTGTGCTTCTGTATCAGAGGGTGTGTCTACAAGAGATGCATTACTGTGTAGTAGCCTAGTTTACTGTGCAGTTAAAACCCTTAATCACAATTAAATTTGCTACCTGCAATTTAATAGTGATTAGTTAATGCACATTAATGCATGTGTAGGCATGATCTGGGAACAAATTTGCTCCTGGGTCTGGACAACCACTAGGGGGCTAGCCTGAGGCCAGCCCCAGGGTTGCAGGCTAAGAGCTTCTCCTGCTCCAAGGCTGGGTCACCTCTATTGCAGCCCCTGTCCGCTGAAAAGCCTGCAGATATTTTGTGCCCTGGGGCATACAAGACAGGCAGCCTGAGGGCACTGCTGGCCCTGTGTGTCCCCCTGAGCAGGCCACAGCTCTGCTGTGCCTCCCTGTGAGCACTCCAGCACTGCTGCTTGGCACTGCACTACTGCATGGCTGCCAGGGCAGTGCCATCAGTGCCACCTGAGTGCTGAAGACTGCTGCATCCCCTGGCCAGCCCTGTCAGCCCTCCAGAGCCACCTGCAGGTGATAGCAAATATGCTATCAGCAGCAGAGCCAGCACCATCTGCATGCAGCTCACCCCAGCAGCCTGCCCCATGCCTGCAGGTATGGTGGGGCATAGCCTCTGCCACACTGCTTCCAGTTTTATAGTGTGCCCCTGTGCCAGGCACTGCTGGCAGCTGCCCAGGGCCAGCAACATTGGGACAGCTGCGAGGGGCCCAGATTGCTGGTGCAGGACCCAGCATGGTTGCTCTCTGTGTCCAGGCCGAGGACCACATGCACACACACACAAGCCCTCCACTCAGAATCTCAACTGGAGCCAGGAGGAGACGGGCAACTTCACAGTTCTCTGGGGTGAGGTGGAGGTGCTGCACCAGTTTGAGCATGCCAGACACTCCAGTGCCCACATTTATGAGGCCCTGTCAGGCAGGATGTGGGTGTGAGGACATGACTGATTGGCATGGCAGTGCCGCATAAAGGTCCAGGCCTTGTGGGCACAGTGTGACCAATCACATTCATCAGTCCAGCCAGGCCCACAAAACCAGGCCCTTTATGCGGGCTCTGGTGGTAGAGCCCACCCCAGCAGCAGGCAGCTCCCAGGGCCAGGGAACAATCTCCCATCCCTTGCTGGCTGGGTGACCAGATGCAGATTTTCTCCTGGTCAGGTGTCTACATGAGCACTATTGCACAGTAGCTAATCTCAAGTAAATTTGTTACTTCCATTTGCAGGTAGCAAATTTACTCATGATTAGTTTACTGTGTCATAAGCTTGTGCACGTGTACACACACATGCTTACTGCACAGTAAACTGCTCTACTGCACAGTAAAGCATCTCGTGTAGATGCACCCTGAGATAGGGAAATCTGGGCCCTGACCAAAAAACAGCTTACATATAATTTGTGGCATATAACTTGTTCCTAATTCAAGGTTTTCCCCAGAGCAACAACTCTAAGACACAATATCCTTTGGAAGAATAAAGAGAGAGACCACAGATAAACAGAATGGGAATTCTGAAGCAGGCAAGGTTCTTTGGGTACATGTGATATCTTTTATTAGACCAAATAAATAGTTGAAAAAAAATGTTCTTTACAAGCTTTTGGGCTCAAACACCCTTCCTTCTTCAGGCATAGGGAAAGTCTTCTGGTCTAATAAAAGATATCACATTTACCCAAAGAGCCTTGTCTGCCTATGTCCTTAGACCAACACAACTACAAACAACTACCCTATAGAATTGGACTCCTGAATGCACTCAAGTCCAGGGATATTCTCTTTGGGTCACAAACTAGAAATATTTCCGTAAAGGAAAGAGT